ATATATACTGTTTTAACATTTTTATCATCTATAGACACTATAAATAATAATGAGATAAAAATCTGCATCTCACAATATTTTGTTTATGTTAATACAATTTCTTCCAATTATTTATACTAAATCATAACAACAATTTCTGCAAATGTATATTTATGCTTTACTCCCAAAACTACCTTTCACTATTGTTAAACAATTCCTTATACTAAACAACATCTTAGATTTTGCACTATGTATCCTGATCACATTTCTTAGTGGATGCTCTTCTAGCTGTTTTCCTCTTTACTACCAAGTCAGGTACATATCCAAAAACTATTAAATAAAATTCATTAATATTACCTCACTAAAAAAAAAGAAATAAAAATAATAAAAATAATAGATAAATATAAAATAAGAGAAAATTTATTACGCTTGGAATTAATGTGATTCATTGTTACAAAAATATAAATTTGAAGATTACAACAAGGACAGGGACAAGGTTGAGTACAGTGTTATTTATTAAATTATTATGATGATGATTTATGATGATGAAGATGATACATGAAGTTGAGAAAGTTACAATGTTATTTATATATGTTAAAGGTTCTATCATCTAGTTCTCCATTCTTTGAAGTCCTAATTTATTCTAATTAAATGTATTACTTGAGCCTTCTATTATTTTCAAGTTATTTCTAAAGTGATTCAATCATTTAAATTCCTTTGATTAAGTTTAACCTGAGAATTAAAGGTCTGTTTGATCAAAATTAATTTGGCTTTAACTCAATTCCTAAAATCTCAATTTTTAATTGCATCTGACTCAATTATTTATGCAGTTTCACCTGTCTATTTGCATACTGTATATTTGCATAATCTGTTCATTTACATAAAGGTAGCTCAGTCCCATATCAGGACTTATGAACTATTTGCATAATGTAAATGTGCATATGCATCCTGTTTCTACTAAGGTTTCTGGTCCAAACTGTTTTCTCAAAGCCCAAACTAGTTTGGGCAATTTGGGCTTTTATAAGCATGAACATTAAAAAACTATATGAATCAACTTGTTTTAGCTTAAACAACTTTAAAATAATTTCACCCAATTTTGGCTAATAACAAAAAGTAGTTTGGGATATTTATCTCAATAAAAAGGTTGAAAATTACCATCATATTGATTATTCTCATCTCCACAAAAAAGAATTTTCTTTCATGCCTCAAAAAGTGTGATATCATCATTAAATCTTTTTTTTGCTCCATTACTAAGAATATGAAATGAATCTATTATTAACTAACCCAATTAAATCGGTGCAACATACTCTGTAACAATTTAGAAAAATTGGCAATATTTAATCTATCTCTGGAAATTTTCACAAATTGATCATCAAAATTTTCTAGGGCAGTTTTAGAAGAATATAAAAGATTAGAGGCTATAAGTATTGATGGGTCGCAAAAACTAACAACATTGTAAAAGAAAATATACTTTGTATTGAAAAATAATTACACGAACCTTTCTTAAATTTCGTGATTTTTAGAGATTAAATGGCAAAAGTTTAATCCACCTGAACTCTAAAACTGGATTGAGCTGAACCTAAGCTGAAATTTACATCCCTAATGCACAGACAGCCACTTCGTTATAACAAGGTTATACTACATCAATAATATAATTTACAGGTGCACAATTCATTGCTTTAATATCAAGTAATAAATATAACAACGATGATCTCTTTAATAACTTCAATCACAGTGCAATGTGTTCAAGAAGTGAAGTATATAACTATTTCACAGTTGTAGATGGAAAAGTCAATGCAATTATTACACTAGATAAAAAAAATTTTTTGACTTTCGAAACCATTTATTTCCAAAGGCAGCAACTCTTTGGAATTCAAATTATTTTATATGGTATACATTTGAATAAATCGTTTATAGATTCAATTGGTTCGAATTTCATTGATTTGTTTGGAGCCTTATCCATGGAAATTTTTTTTTTAATTAGCTTCAGAACCATCAATCAAGATGAGTATTTGTACAAGTCAGATGGCGGAGTATCCAAAAAATGGAACTTTTGGCATACTTGTCAAGATTTAGGCTATGTTTTATAAATCAAAAGGTGCCTTTTTATAATAAATAAATGGAAATACTATAAATATTTGTAATGTTTGTAATAATTGAAAAATAATTAATTAACATGTCTAGTGTGCTATGTTGGAGACAATTCTGTATGGAAAGTTTAATCAAATCCAGAAAATTTTCCTGTCAATTATTTTAATATTAATGTTAATATTAAGGAAAAACAACAAATCGTTCGATAATATCTACCATTCTAAAGCATAGTCATAGTCATTAATAATAATAAACACCGCCATTTAAAATTTCGGGTGTTTGCCGTATGGGTAACCACTTTTATTCGTCTTCTGGAATTTTTTTTTAGATATGAAATTGTTATTTTCATTTGTATATTATTATTGTTATTATTATTTCGACACTCGACCGTAAATATCGTCCAATGTGTACAATCACCAGTACCGTGCTAATGTTAATGCAAGATGATGATGTAAATGGATTTACTAAAAATAAATTGTCTTGACTGATGCAAATATTATAGAATTATTCTCCAAAGGTAAAAAACTTGCGCTTGGCAAATCAAGACTAAAGAGAATCAGCTGGAATGACTAGATTGATGACGAAATTTTGTCACAAAAGCTTTATTTTCTAGTCAAATCAAGAAACAAAAGAAAAGTCCGTTTAAACAATGAAAACATCAATATTAAATTACCACGCCGGCTTTGGCAATCTTAACTCAATAATAATGAGTTAAGATGATGAAGGTAAATAAATTATCCAATGAGTTTGATCAAGGAACAAAAGAAAGGTATTTTGATATTATTAAATTAAATAAATTGTGATTTTTAAAATTAAGGGTTTTCAAGTTTTTCAAACCCATTTTCGCCCAATAATATTAATTTTTTACCATCTATTTTTACCCATCGTGATGAACCAACTGTGTTTGCTTCTCCACATCCTTGTACATTTAATATTGCTCTACCAAGATCCATTTGCCGAATAACATGTTTAATTTTAATTAATGAATTGAAAGAACTAAGACTTGCTAAAAATATGCAGAATATAATGATTAGCCCAAACATGGCTATCAAGTACTGTGTAGCAAAACGTATATCATAGCATGTTTTTTCGGTTGTAAATTGAGTGCTACCGACAATTTTAGCCTGGTTGGTAGGAGTCACCATATTGATCATAATATCATTCCACTGGCGTTTGTACATACCACTTATACCTTTTTCAGTTAATCCTTCTTTTTTCCATTGTTGTAATAAAGCCAAATTTCCAATCCCATCTCCTCGATAACCATTTACACTATCCTCAAGGCTAATCATCATGTGGACTGCAATAGCAGGAGCAGAAGCAGCATTTGCATCGGCATTAGTACCCCATATGTTGGAAGCTCCTGCTGGTAATAAAAGAGTATTTTCGCTTACTAATAAACTATTATTAGGAAGTTTTTCTCCAAATTCAATTCCTCCCCACCAAGGGTCCATGTCAGTAATATTAAGAGCTCCCTTTTCAATATACCACTGTGCTGGAATAGTTTGCACGTCTGTTACATTAGTTGCACCTGTTGTACTGGATTGAAATTTGATGGTCTTTACACTTGCTTCAACTACACTAGCACAGCTGTACAAAGTTTGTTCAATTCCTCGTGTAGTATGTATGGGAAATCCAAGTAATGTCCAGCAGTCAACACCAACTACATTTTCTGTAACATTGTCTGCTCCGCCATATCCTTTACACCGAATTTCAGCATTCAAGCTAAGTGTTGAGTTAAACTTAACATTATAATCAAAATAACCATCAAATGATTTTCCTGAATTAACAGTTTTTGGCTCCATAAAATTAACTTTAAGAACTGGTGACTCAAAAAAAGTTCCATTTGCTGTCATATTTAATTCTTGCATAATAAGAGATTGTATCAGCTGACTATACCTGATGCTTCTTGCTGGAAGATCAGTCAATTGGCCTCGATCACCAATTGGATTTATACCCAATGAATTTATATCAGTGTTGTTAATAACTGCATAGCCTATCCAAGAGGCGGTATTGTTTTCCCATGAAATTATTGTAATATTTGTTGAATGACAACTGACATGTGGTTGCAACCATAAACCTTGAATTGACCAGCCAAGACTTCCATTGGTTTTTAAATTGGGCTCAATTACATTATTTATTAAAAGTCCACCATTATCATGATCTGCAACCATTGTGTCAATAATTCCATAACCCTCCTTTTGTACACTTGTTGCACTCAACATCATAAAATCATAGGAAGGATATGAAATATTATAATTGCTACTAGTTTTCAACAGACGATATCTCATTGCATTGTTACTGTATGTTCTGTTAAAATCAATTGCATATTCTTCATCAACATGCAACCTATCTTTCATTCCTGGACATGGTTGGTAGTCAATTCCACCACATACCCTAATGCTTGTTAGCTCCTTCAGAGAAAATGTGTTATTAATTGCACTATCCAATAATGGATCAGCATTGATAACATCAGCATCAACAGATGTTATATCATATGTTACTTCACATGTATAAATACCAAGTGGTGCAATAGCTGATACTCCAAATAATGCTATTAAAGATACCCCAACAAGTATGTAAAGTATATTACGTTTATATGATCCCATGTCCCATAATTTAATTCCTGTTAAAGCAGGTTGGCCACCTGTTCCATAAATATTAAGCAGACTTGCCCCAGCCACTTTACTTAAAGTTGTCCACTCTAAAGCCATCATTTTATCATTGATGCTCAATAATATTGATATGGTGCCTAACACAGAAATAATAATTGGTAGGATAGCACTAAAAATACCAATTAATCCAGCTAATTGACCAATGCTTAATTCAACTATCACCATTTTTAGGGTTTAAGGTTTATAAAAGAATATATTACGATCAAGTTTTGTAGTGTGTAAACTTGTGTGTAAATGATTTATGTTGTTACTGTTTATTATTTATTATGAAATAACAAGGCTGCGCGTGTTAGAAGAGGATGGATAGTGAAAATTTATTATTAATTTTGATTATACAATAAATGAATGGATTTATATTCGACAACACTTGCTATTTCACAGTTAATTCTAAGTAGATTATTTTATTTAATTGAAACTTCCAAAAATCCTCTTCCTTATATACATTATTTAGTTTAATTGCTGCGATGCAGTATAAATTTGATTGGTGCAGGAATGAATCAAAAAGAAATAATTATCTTTTGCAGAAAGAAAAAATTTTTTCTATAAACAATATCTAGAATTAGAATTTAAATTATATGTAAATGAAATATTTTGAATTTACAAGGTTATTACATAAATTCGTTGTTCATGAAAACTGTGTTACACTATTACTATTACTAATACTAATACTATAAAAATTTAATTTTCCGTCGTCATGTTGTGTAATATTAATCGATTGATTTTTTTATTGCAAGGGAAACGATAAAATTAAAAAATTCCATTGGACAGACGAAAGTTAGTTATAATTCTATTAATGAAGCAAGTACACATCTTAATCAATAATAATATACAGTGCTTGGACAGAAGAATCAGACACCCTAAATGTATTAACTACATAATAAGTATACAAAAAATTTATGTCAGTTTATAACTTAGATTCTGAAGATCATGTATTATGTTACTAAATTTCCTGGAACTTAAGCAATTGAAAATTTTTGATGATAAAATTTTTTCAAAGATTATACAATGATATGTTTTGAAATTTATATATATGATAATCTGATTCTCAATAAATTTGTTTTTACATTTTCTTGTTTAAAATTTTTTTTGACAAATCCAATGAAGTTAACCAATGAAATTCATTACATGTCACGCACACTAATTTTTATTGGTCAAATATTACATCTGGAACATTCCAATAGCGTTATAATGTTCCAACTGCCCATATTAATTATGGCACGCCGAAGCGAACAAAAGTTTAAGGCTAAACCTCAAGTGGCTTCAAGCAATTTCCTTTTTTGGGTCAATATATAGCACCAGAATATAGAGGTTGGAATCGACTAAAATAGTCGACTAAACTTTTTTTTGGACAACTAATAGTCGACTACTAATACTACTAATAATAATACTAATACTAATAATATGTAAATATTATTATTGTCTGACCAATTACGATTTTTGTGTTTTATCATTCAAAATGGAAAATTTCTATGCGGAAGAGTATCAATACCAACAATATGATGATGACGACAATAGTAGTGTGTTGTTGATAATTTTACATGTGAATAAATAAACACTTCCAATACAAGGTCAATGGTTCATTGGCCTCAAGTTCCAATGATTTGAGCGGTGGTTCTAAAAGACCTTTAAAAAAATGAATCGTAACACTTGATTTTGTGTGGAAGTATTTTGAAAAAGTGAAAGATTCAAATGGAAATGAATTCGTGATTATAAAAAGAAAAAATTTTAGTCGACTAAAATAATCGACCAAATAATCGACTAAAATAGTCAACTAAAATCAACTAATACTAACACTAATAGTCGATTAAATAATTAACTAATTAGTTGGCTAAAGAAATTTTTGACCAACTAGTAGTCAACTAAGGATTTTTCGGACAATTCCAACCTCTACCAGAATAGGATAATGTTCGTGTAACTAATAAGGTTTTTAAATTTATTTTGAATCCTTTTTAAAATACATCGAATTTCTCCAATGGGTGATTTGTCTTTTGGTTTTTTCCTGAATCAAGTATTTCTTAATTAATCTTTCTTTCTTTTTAAAGCTTTTAATTTATTTGTTGTTTCAGATCGGGTATTATTACTACAATGTAAAAATGTAATCATTCGTGTAAATGCATCAATTCCTCTGTATAACAAATTTACATTTGATTAATTTATGATTTCCATCAATGTGCCATAATGAATTAGGACCTGCAACATTATATACACGTCTAGGAATAATATGTACCCAATTATTAAATGAATCAATACGATATAATGAATTTCCGAGTCTCTGACGATGAATTTTTATTCATAATGATTTTAGTGTTCCCATAACAATATTTTGTCCAGAGAATGGTTGCCCTTGTCTAATAATTCTAACCACACCATCAATTTGTTTATTAGTTAATTGTGTATATTCATCTATATCATTAGGAATGTTTAATCCTCTTGTACTACGCCTTTGATTTGTTTTTAGATAATCTTCTTTTCTCAAAATTCTGATTGCATTATTCACTAATTAATATTAGTACCTTTTCGGTATTATTACATTACAAAATCCGGGCTTTATACGCGGAATCGAAAACGTACTCTTTTAATATTAATATGTTACGAATTTCGTGCCTTATACGCGGAATCAAAAACGTACCTTTTCAGCATTAGTATGTTACAAGTTCAGTACATATTCAGTACTTTATATGCGGGATTAAAACGTATCTTTTTTTAGTTTCAGTACATTATAGTTACAAATTCCGTGCTGATTCCGTATTTCACACTAAATTTGAAAAAAGGAAATTTTTCAAAACCATAAAGAAATATGTTAATTCCGTACATTAATATATATTTTTAAGAACAGATTTAACAACGTTAATACTTTTCATAGGGATAATAAAACACATACATGCAACTTTTATTTATTAATAATAAAATTAAAATTTAGAAAGTCAAAGATTGGTCACGATGTATATATATGCGGAAAAAATTTTCATATGAAGAAATTATTAAACTATGTATTTTAATATGTATCTAAATAAAAACTAACAATCTTTTGTAAAAAATCTTTAATTAAATGAATTGTGATTTTTAAAATCAAGGGTTTTCACTAAAATAAAGCTTTTCAAAGCCTTTTTCGCCCAATAACATTAATTTTTTACCATCTATTTTTACCCATTGTGATGAATCAGCAGTGTTTGCCTCTCCACATCCTTGTGCATTTAATATTGCTCTACCAAGGTCCATTTGCTGAATAACATGTCTAATTATAATCAATGAATTGAAAACACCTTCATTTCTAAGACTTGTTAAAAGTATGCAAAATATAATTATTAGCCCAAACATGGCTATCAAATACTGTGTAGCAAAACGTACATCATAGCATGTTTTGTTCACTGTAAATTGAGTGGTACCAATGATTTTAGCCCGGTTGGTAGGAGTCACCATATTGATCATAATATCATTCCATTGGCGTTTGTACATACCACTTATACCCTTTTCAGTTAATCCCTCTTCTTTCCATTGTTGTAATAAAGCCAAATTTCCAATTCCATCCCCTCGATAACCACTTGAACTATCTTCAAGGTTAAGCATCATGTGGACTGCAATAGCAGGAGCAGAAGCAGCATTTGCACCAGCCTTAGTACCCAATGTGTTGGAAGCTCCTGCTGGTAATAAAAGAGTATTTTCGCTTACTAATAGACTATTATTAGGAAGTTTTTCTCCAAATTCAACTCCTCCCCACCAAGGATCCATGTCAATAATATTAAGGGTTCCCTTTTCAATATACCATTGTGCTGGGATAGTTTGCACATCTGTTATATTAATTGCTCCTGTTGTACTGGATTGCAATTTGATGGACTTTACACTTGCTTCAACTACACTAGCACAGCTGTACAAAGTTTGTTCAATTCCTCGTGTAGTATGTATTGGAAATCCAAGTAATGTCCAGCAGTCAACACCAACTATATTTTCTGCAATATTCTCAAATCCGCTATATCCTTGACACAGAGTTGAAGCATTTGATTCAAGTGTTAAGTTAAATTTAACATTATAATCAAAATGTCCATTAAGAAGAATTCCTGAATTAACAGTTTTTGGCTCCTTTGAATTAACTTTAAGAACTGGTGACTCAAAAAAAGTTCCATTTGCTG